TATTTTTGGTTTAATGCTGTGTCTAGAAATCCTGTAGATGGGTTGCCTAATTTCATGTTGTTCCTTAACGGCTTAAAGTGATTGTACACCCTACGTGTATTCTCTTTTAAGTAATAAAATTATCTGATTACCTATCAAAAAATTTTTGTAAAAATTCCTTGTCAAGTGAAATGCCAGTCCATTAGCTATGTGCTTATTTTATTGTGAGCTAAACAATTTGAAGATTACTAGTCGCATTAGATCTTGAGATTGGATTTTGAAAATTCAACTTTATATTATCGTTTTGGATTCCAGAGTAGAGACATCAGTTTCATGGGGAACTATAGATATTGATGGTTATTTTATTTACGTTTATAGGTTCATTAGAAGTGGGGAATGCAGACCTGTGGTCTGTTCTCTTTGTTCCATTAGTTAAAGTGAGTGAAATAATAACCATTCTTCTTCTGGAAAAACTATTGCCTTGAAGAGTGATGACAAGAATTTGGTAGATTTTATATATCTGTATAATACAGACTGATCTTTTCAATATTAAATTTATCACTTTACTTTTCTTTTCAATAATTATTTCTTGGTTACTTCAACATAATGTACATTTTCTGAACATTATTTATATTGGATGTGTCAAAAAATTTCCCTTTGCTGATTGTAAATTTCCTCATCTGTGATAGTTCTGAATTTGATCCACTGGGAATTAATTCAGATGGATTATTAGATATAAAAACTGCTTGGAAAGATGCCTGTGCCTTGATTTCTCAAGCACTTGAGAGTGCCTCAAATACCAGAAAGGAAAAAGCTTCATCGGCTAGAGGAGTGGCAGGGTTGTTATGCAGCATATACATTTCATAGGTTATATCTCCTATAGAAACCTTTTTCTCTTAACCGTTGACTAGGACTACTCGAATTTTTCCAGCTGCGATTGAGGACACTAGCATTGATTTTGGTGACTTCTTTAAAGGCCCACTACCAGGAAAGTTTCTTAAGCTCTTGGGCTATCTTGCCCTGTCACGACTTGGAATATACATACCTCTTGGTGGTGTAAATCGAGAAGCATTTGTTGGTAATCTAGATCAAAACAGTCTATTGAGCACTTTAGATTCATTTTCTGGAGGAGGCATTGGTCGGCTTGGAATTTGCTCTCTTGGTATTGTGCCCTTTATCAATGCACAAATTGTTTTTCAGCTTCTCACACAAATATACCCAAAGTTGCAAGAACTCCAGAAAAGAGAAGGCGAGTCTGGAAGAAAGAAAATTCTTCAGTACACTCGCTATGCTTCTGTTGGATTTGCCATAGTACAGGTAAATGATGTCATATCGAGACGCTATGTATTGTACATTACATAAATAAGCGATTTTTACTTTTGTTCTCAGTTTCATCTAGTATGCTTGTTGAATATGTCTAATTATGCACAAAAGTACTTTGTAAATTCTGTTTGGATAAAACACATTTGAGAGATTTAAATCTGGTGAGGCTACAGTATATGGCTAAATCTTGAGTGATTGACCAGGAAACCAGTCTATTCTTTTGTTGGATGTTAGATTAATTAATATAATATTCCTATCTTAAAATTTTATTGTCTTTGTAGGCAATTGGTCAAGTACTCTTTCTTCGCCCTTATGTTGATGACTTCAGTACTCAGTGGGCTCTCACTTCTGTTATTTTGTTGACTCTTGGTTCAGTTTTTACAACATTCATCGGAGAAAGAATAACTGACTTAAAGCTTGGGAATGGTACATCTCTTTTGATCTTCACAAATATTATCTCCTACTTGCCAGCATCTTTTGGGAGGACAGTTGCCCAGGCTTTTCAAGATGGAAACTATGTTGGACTTATTGCCACCATTGTTTCCTTCTTCCTCTTAGTCCTTAGCATTGTGTACGTTCAGGTTAGTGCTATTAGTACCATTCAAAAGTTATAATGTTTTCTCGTGAAAACAAAGGAGGAATCACTAATTTTCTCAAAAAGCGGCTCAGGAAGCAGAGAGGAAAATTCCGCTTAATTACGCCTCAAGATTCACCAGCAGAACCGGGGGACTCGAAAAATCTGCTTACTTACCATTCAAGGTTGATAGCTAACATCTCATCTTGAATTTGGTTATATTTATATAGATATATATTGAATTTCACACTACTACCTTTCCATTTTTATTTTTTTTATTTTTTATTTTTTTATTTTTTTATTTTTATTTTTTTTGGTTCATTTGGAAGAATATGCCTGTTTAACTACATCGTGGGAACTGCTGGAAATTATTTTTGACGCATTTCATCCAGATATACTTTGTGGAGAGATTACTGCGATAATGAATTCAAAAGTTCTACTTATATTTGATTAATTTTCCTAGTTAAATTGATATCATGGATTTAATATCATACTATTGCTTCTGGTGAGATTACACTTCTTAATCTTGTGTCTTTCCACCAAATTGGTCTCTTAGACAATCTGCTTGAAAATCCTTTCTTAGCCTAAATGTTTATTTGGTTTCATTAATTTGTCAATGTTCTCTCTTATTTTACGTTTCTGGTCCTTTTTTTTTAAAGTTATTTTAGTATCTCCTGGTGTTCTACACTTTTTATTGTACTACCGTAGTTTTTTGCCCAAGATCATAGTCTTGATTATATTAGCAGTAATTTTTGAGCAGGTGAATAGTTCGGGAGTGATGCCAATTATCTTTTCCACTTCATCCATGGCTCTTCCAGGAACACTTGCACGCTTTACTGGTTTGGGTGTACTAAAGAATGCTGCTGCAGCTTTGAACCCCGGGGGTATGATTTAAATAACTTTGTCTCTATTCTGTATTTAGTGGCGTTAATGTTCTGGCATGGACTAAACAACAGTAATCTCATTGCCAACCTTTTGAAGCATTTGTAGTTGGATTGATTAGGCTTGCGATTTCAAGGATATTTCCATGTCATTCATCTTAGTACTTCAATTCTAATCCACAATTTCAGCGGGACCTCAAAATTATACTTGACAAAGTTATTATAGTTATTCTGATACACTACCTTATACTCACTGCTAGAACTTAATTGTTTGTTTTAATGCACAAAATGCTCACAAAATCCCTCTTTAGAGATCACTGGATGGGCTCTGGAGGGGTACTATCAGAGAACTTTTGTAATCCTTTCGACTGCCATCCAAGTAAAGAAAGTAAACGGGACTGCTCTCAAAAGAGAGGTCTTTCTTTCTGGTTGTGAAATCGCTTAGATTGAAAAGCAAGTCGATGATGTTGTTAGGTTTAAGTAATATTTGATGCAATGCTATCCTGTGGATTCAACATTGTGCACTTATTTTGTTAAAATCCTAGTGGAATTGATTTCTGTGATATTGTTACTTTGTTTTTCCTTCATGGAATCTATCTTTCAGAATCATCAAAATTTTATTAATTGCTAGAAAGTTAATAAAGATAGGGCTAAATAATGTAGTTTTATAATAATTCTAAGAAGATTACAGATAATTATTTCTGCTGAAATACGTAATTTCTTTACAGTTAGGAATGATTAAAAATTATTTTTCAGGTTCTTTTTATCTGCCAACCAACATTGTATTAATAGCCTTCTTCAACTACTACTACACATTTCTGCAATTGGACCCAGATGATGTCAGTGAACAGTTAAAGAGGCAAGGTGCCTCAATCCCTCTCGTCCGACCAGGAAAAAGTACAGCTGCATTCATCAAAATGGTGACATTCTGCTTCATTTAATACTTAATTTTACTTCATAATTTTTGTTTAGTGAGCATTATTTCATAATTTTTCTTCAGGTAAATTAGAGGTAGAAATCAATTTGGTAGTCTTTGCTTGTCGTTTTCGCTGATCCCCTTTGTGTATTTTGAGTAACAATATGCGCTTCTTCCTCAATGTTGCTTCATTTTAGTTTCATCTAGCTAAAATTTCAGTGTGCTGCTCACCCTCCCATCCCTGCAGCCTATAACAGCATTCCTGTCCATCTCCAAAAATTGGATAAATGAAGAAATTGATGGATTCTCCTCAGTGATGCATGCATAGATTGAGCTGAATGCTGAATAATTTCTCTTACATATTAAACTTCCAACGACGACAAGAAATTTAGAATTGTTTCTTCTAATATATTTTATGAGGAATGGACTGGATTCTTCCGTAAAGAGTTCCATACGGCATTGGACCACAAGAAAGAAAATGTTCTCTCAAGGAATTGTTTCAACTCATGACCACGTTATTGAGTCTGTGAGACGTGAAAATTGTAAATCTCTTGAATCTATATCCTTTTCATGGCACTCGAAATGCTTACTTTCGATCCTTTTTCGACTTATCGTAAGATCTCATACACTGATTAAATGCATTAAGTACAATTCGTGTTACTTGGAACCTGTACGTTTCTTGGTTGTATTGCTTCTACTTCAAGATAAATGTAATTGAAGTTGTGCATATTTGGCATACAGTTTTAGACTTGTTATTGTACAGTACCATCTAATCTACTTCACCAGATGTCATTTATGTCTTTGCTACTGAAAATTACAGGTTCTGAGCCGCATATCAGTCCTCGGTTCTGTGTTTTTGGCAATTCTGGCTGCTGGTCCTGCTGCGATTGAACAAGCTACCCATCTGACTGCATTTCGGGGATTTGCAGGCACATCCGTTCTCATTCTTGTAGGTTGTGCGACAGACACAGCAAGAAAAGTTCAAGCAGAGATAATTTCTCAGAAGTACAAGAATATAGAGTTCTATGACGTTGACAAATATTAACAATAAAGTGCAATTAGTTCTATTGTATTTGTAACATCTAGATGACACAATGATAGATCATTTGCATTTTCCAATTCAGTCAGGCTCTGTTTCTTTTCCGTCTTAGCTGCTGAATACTGCAACTTCTTTCCTGCGCTACATTGAATTTTATTGAATTATATAATACAGATGGCTCAAATTTGTTCTGGTTCTATTCAACCACCCTTATCTTCATTTAAGGTCATCCCTAATCAGAGGTTTAAATGTGGGTCCCATCTAAATGGTTTAGTAACATAAAAAAGGGATTACAACAAGCACGTATTTTCATTGATTTAGTTATAGTGACTGTTACATATAGTTTATTGTAAACTATACTGTTCCAGCCTGCTGCAGATCTTATAAAATAGATATAAAATTACATGAACAGAAAGGCAACCTAGAATATATCCTTCCATTAAGTGAATGTTTCTATTCTGCAGGGAACATACGCTTTTGGATGTGAAATGAATTACTGGTCTACAGTCGAGCTGATGTAACTAATCATCTGTCTCGGCTGAAAAGTCAGGCTCTTCGGGTTTCAGTAGTTTTGGGGTCCCCAAGTCTCTAATCTTTTGAGCACCTCTCCTTGTATTTGCAGCAAATTTTGAAGCCAAAATTGTGACCCCAAGTTTTGATATCCGACCAGAGTTCGAACCCTCAGAGCTCTCATTCTGTTCTACCTCTTTGGAGTCCAGAGCTGACATCTCGTCCAATGCAAACGATTCCATGGTCGCAAGTTCTTTTGCTATCTTCTTCCTCTTGTACCGTCGCCAAGCAGCCTGTATGAAGCATGCTGCCCATGTTCTCCAGTGGTGTGAATAAAGACGGAAGGTATGCTGCAACTTCTTGCTGTGTAGTCGTCTAAACTGATTAGCTACAAACTTGAGATCTTCGGCTCGCAATGCAAAAGCTTCGACTTCAACCAGTGCTCTCACTGTCCTAGTCGAAGAAGGCAAGTTGACGGTTGATCTTGGTAGCAAAGCCCATGCAAGTAGCTCCTCCCCACAAAAGTCTCCTGGTCTCAGGGTAATGGAATTGAAGAAACCCGTCCGCCCTCCATTTGTGGTTGAACTCTCGAGTCTACCACGGATGATGAAGAGCATCTCTGTCACAGGATCACCCTCACGTACAATATACGTACCCTCGGTGCTCAAGGATGAGACTAGGTGCTCGCATATCGCATCAAGCAACTGATTGTCCATTTGTGAGAAAAATGGAACCTGGAGAGCCCAGCAAAAAACCAAAAAAATAAAAAATAAATAAAAAAAACAAAAACAAGAAACAAAGGTTAGCACGCGAGGAAGCACAAGAGGACCTCGTGAGTCTTGATCTTCATCTTTCAAAGGGACTATTGTAACATTATTTTTTCCAGACATTCAATTAATCAAGAAAACGTTCAGATTTCTTTTCAATGAAAAATATAGTTGGGAATCATACACGTCGAACAAGGTCCAAACACAGATGACACTGTATATCACGACGGAGATCGGTGGGTAAGCCACGCAGAATAGTTTCTTCATTTACTCCTCGAGTTGCAAGCCACTTGTATTGAACAAACCGCCGAACACGTTTCCTCAAATCTTCTGGAAGTTGACGATGCTGCATCCACTCCTCAGTGTCTCTTCGCTTAAGTCTCCATTCCTCAAGCCTTAGTGTTAAAGACTGCAGGTATGTCTACATGCAGAAAAAGATGGAAGTGAATCACACTCGTTTAGAATGATAAACATAAAATGCTGTAAAGAAAAAGCAAGATACAAGTCCCCGGGTCACAAGTGGAGAAGGGAAAAGAGCTCCCTAAAATCTTTGATATTCTTGATCAAAGTCATATAAAGTTCAAATAATTCGCAAGCAAATTATGAAAATTTCGGAATAGAAACTGTAATACGTCATAAATGAATATTTTGACCTGTGAATATTGAAAAATAAAGCATTATATCATTGATAAGTATGCGAGTTCCGTAGAAAATTAGAGGATTATAGTGTTATTAAATGTTCATTTGACACAAATAGATTAAAGCAAGACATGCCTTTGCTGGACTTCAATTATTATGCCGAACTGGCTCCAGAAACTATCGACATAATATACTAATTTTACCTTCACTTGTTTTGAGTAAAATGAGAGCTCCAGAATAATGTAAAGTATCTAACTGAAAAATTATAACAAGGGAATGTTTTAGGGCTTAAATTTGCCCACAGAATTATTATGTGAAACAACAAAAAGTTTGTCCTTGGATATTTGCTAATTTGTCACTTGACTTCTTTATTATAATATGCATATTTGTCAAAGCTCATAATCGTTAATAAGCAATAGGTCCCAAGGAATGTGGGGTCAAAAAGTAGGTAAAAGTTGGGAAACCTATGTAATGTGTGGACAAAACCAAAGTTTGACCAGTTTATAAGCAATTAAAGCATGAGAAACAAGAGCAATGATAATAGGTTACTGACCGAGGTGTTTAAATTTTGGGCGAATGTCCTAGATCCGAAAAACGAAAAGGTTTGATTCCTTGATTTATTTGTGAGCTGAAATGGAGGTTGTGAGATTGAAAAGCATGGAATCTATAGAAAAATCAGAAAAATGGGGAAAGATATTTCTATAAAGGATGTCCCATATAGAAAAAATATGCCCTAGATATTTTTTATTTAAGTTTTTTGTTGAAGAAGAAACAGATACATGAACTTAAAAATAATTGATTACCAATGAAGATTAGCTAAAACAAAGGAGTCATGTATTACAAATTAAAATAAATCAGATGAGGAAAAGGAATTATTAGATTTAATGCTCATGTAAATTTGTCACTTTGTATTATAGGGGTGGACAAAATGACCACACCAACCAAACCAAGTGGTTTGATTCGATTCTACCAAAAAGATAAAATAAAATATATATTAAGGTTTTTGGTTCTAGTTCGGTTCTAGTTCTAGAACCAAGAACCAAACTCAATATTTAAATTTTATTTATATATATATTTTTTTTTGTACAAATTAGTGAATCACAATTCACACCAAACATTCATAATTCAATTGAAAACTAGGACAAAAAGGTCATATACCATCAATTTCTTATGTCTTAATGTAGAGACTGGAGATCCTGATTTATTTTGAAGACCCAAACCTAGTTCATTTCTCATTTTCTTTCATTCTTAATTTGAACACTGGCTATCACATGGATACCAACAGTTATCGCCTACCATCTACCTTCACGCTCAACCACCACGGTCACATGAATTTCTGAAATTGAATTCACAACCTTCGGTTTTTCTTCCTCAAATGTTTTTTCTCTTTTTTTCTCACACAAAAAAAAAAAAAAAAAAAAAAAAAAAATTCAAATCAAACCAAAACCGAATGGTTTGGTTTGGTTCTATACTTAAAAAAGAAAAAAGAGCAAAAATCATTTAATTTCATTACCAAAAAACTTAATTCATGGTTTGGTTCAGTACTTTTGGAACCAGAACCAAATGAAACAATGTCCACCCCTACTTTGTAATATATTTCATGGCATCCAGACACTGAAGTTATAGAACAAACATTTGATACAAGCAGACTATAAATATAGCATAGACTTCCATATGTCAAGAAAAACTTCGACATATAAAAAGCTTCTATATAAATAGAGTTCTTTTACAGGTGTTAAGAGCTCGGTACTCTAGTAATTGAAATTTTTAGAATAATTGAAAAATGGATTCTTGAAGTGAGGAACTCGTGTTTCGATCATACTTGTCGGAAAAAATAAAAAGCCAAAAATTAGAACATTGGGAAATTTTGACAATATTTAAAAATAAGTTATTGACTAAATTGATGAAGATGTTATTTTGACTTAAGCTTATACTTTTGAGCACAAAACCCTCAAAATTAAATGACATTAGCCTAAAATATGGGCTTGCCATTAACACTACACGAAACTAAAGGTAATCTTTATTTATTAGGTATCCTTCTTCAGCTTCTCATCAGGTCAAAGTTCAAAACACTAAACCTTGTTCTCAAATTAATTAAAAAATATATTACAAGATGACTACCAATTTAAATCCCAAAAACATCATCTTTAAAACTTACTTTTAACAAAGCTCCATGATTTGCACTCGAATGTTTTAAAAATAGGCAACTAGATCAATGAGGACCCAACGAGCAGCAAGATTCTTGCAAAGTAAAGAGCAGAGAAAAAATTAAATGAGACACCAAACTCAAACAAGGTTAATCAAACTAAACTTAGTTAAGCTTGAAAAATGAATAACTGCAAGCAGCAAACTCTTTTTTCTTATTCTAGAGAATAACCAGGATTTCTTGCATATGAGATCCAGAAACATCACCAGTAAATCAGAGATTGGAGAAAAGGTTTAGTGGAATGCAAATCTGTGACCCTACCGAACAAATTAGTTGCAGGTTCAATTTGTTTTATGAGAAACCACGAAGATCATTTGGTATGCCACAACCAGTGCATAACCTTATGAAGATTTAAACTTTACAAAGAAATGGAAAAACTTTCACTTACCTGCATATTTCCAATAAGATGTGCGAATAAAACAAGACCCAAGATAGCAATGAGTATGGCAAACGATGTTTCCCCAATAAATGTGCTTGTTGAAAGATTTTGTCCATATGAACTGAGGATAAGAAAGAGAGAAATGTATTTAGATAATTTGCTTCAGTTCCAATTATCTTGTAGAGAGAGGTACAAGATGGAATCAGTTCTACTTCCTCTCGATCTAGAAATATTACCACAGCTTCGAGTGACATTCATTTCATAGTTTCTATTTATGCAAGAATTTTAATATGTAGGGAGTACAAAGAAACAGTGTAGCATCAAACCAGTGACAACATGTCAGTAAATACTTGCACATTAAAGAAAACTTGAAAACGTGCTCCTTTGAAACCTCAGTTGGATCATTATTCAACAATCCGCCACCCACAACCAGTAAAAAAAATGGGGCGAGGGAGGGGGAGGGGGGGGGGATAAG